GATGTGATTTTCACAAGAAAAAGTGTTTCCTATACCTTGATGTACTGCAGTAATGAGAGTGAAAAGGAATACAGTATTCTTCCTCAACCAACTTGTGCCGTTGACGACAATAGCGTATGGCGGGGAAGCTCCGCGTGGGACAATGGCGTTCTTTCGCATGCTTCCGCTATGAGCCACCGGTGGCTCATATTGTCCCTCGTGGACCACTTTTTTGCCGCTCTGTCAAATTTCGCAAAATGATCGAGCAGTGAAAGTTCAGTTAACCATCCTTATCCACACCGCACACCATCCCAAGCCTGCGCCTCCCTCGATCACGCCCACTTTTCAGCGCGATTGTGATCACTCAGATTTCATACTATCACTCCTGTTTCTATGGTTTTCTGCTTTTTTGCTTTTTCACATTCATACCGTAATTCGTAGACGGCCGTATCAATACACTTTTTTCGGGATGGGCGCTATTCAGGCTTCGCTAAGGCTAGGCTCAGGAGTTAGGTTTTTTTCCAAGCTCAGCCTTGCAGAACGCGGACAACCAGAGTACTGTAAGCTGGCGCCGACGATGAGCGCTATGTTTTTTGTCAGAGTGTCAACATGCGCAGTGGGCACGTTTACATCAGTTTTCGCTAAAAAGGTTGTGGCGCCACATTGGCGCCTATTGGCGCCGTAGTGGCAGCACAACTTTTGGCCGCCAGTACTACAAACAAATAAAGGATCTGCAGCAAGGTATCAAGTAACCCAGGTATAGAAGTTTATATCGAGTTCGGTGCCAAAAAAGGGAGCTAGCGCCAAAATGGCGCCTATTGCCGCCATATGACGCCGACGACAGGAACGAAGTGACACTCGTGGTCATAGCCCCGATCAGTCCCCATTAAGTTTAGTCCAAGAAGAATCATTTTGGAGGTTTCAGGCATAGCAATAGCTAGTTGAAAAATTCCAGTTTTCAATTTAAAGTGTTTCGTGAAGACGGCAAGGTTTTCTCGCTCATCCCTGCTGGAAGTTCACATTCCACAAGTCATCAGAGTTCAAGGGAAAGACCTTCTGGAGCTGAAGGCAATAACACCAAAAGAATGCAAAAAGCTTATAAGCCTACCGATTGCTCATATGCAACACGTCAAATCGATAGGAGCTTCCAGTGTCTGCTTTCATGTCCTTGCTGGGTATTGCCGCCGCAATTCTATTTGCAGCATGGGGTGTAGTAAATAACCCACGCAATGCGGAGGCCAGACGATGAAGTACAAGGAGGTGTTTCTACCCTTTCTGTAGAGACCCTTTACAGACTGGATGACATCTCGAATAAGCCCGTTTTCCATTCATTCGGAGTAGTTGGCCGACTGGAAGGGTGGAAACACCGACTCGTAGCACGCCGGCTAGTTTCGTCACAATGTAGGAGGCATACGCATTCGAATGCCACTACGTCTTTGTGAGCAAATCAATTGCGTGGCGTATTTAGCTGAAGGTACCTTTAACGGAACGTTGGTGACCCCAGTAGAACCCCTTATCAACCGATCGCAGTTGAGATTACAAGTAAAAACGAAAACGCAGTTTTGTGACCTTTTCGTGAATCAACAGAAAACATTCAGGAGTTCTTCTCAAATATCAGTGAGCGAGGTGACAATTTGGAGCAGACTGTCGACACTTATATTGAGAATATGCTCTTACTCTTCGAAAATCCTCATTATGCTCACGTCTTTGAGACGCATTTTATCAATCAGTCACAGGACAAAGACATTTGGACATTTCCTGCAGCTGTACTGTTCACGACCACCACCATCATTCCTGTCGGTTCGTTTAGCTCATTTATTATGGCTTTGATTTGTCTTGCTTGGAAGCACATCTTGCTATAGTAGAATGCTGGTTTTACAACCAAAACATCCTACTATATATAAACGGCAACGTCTGTCTGTCTGTCCGGAAATTCGGAATCACCTGAAGAGCCAGTTTCAAGGGTGGGTTGGGTAGGGCATGGGCCAAGATGTACGGAACACACGTGAACTAGCTAAGCCCCGCCCACTGTGGGCGGGGCGTGCGCACAGTTGTGAGCTACATATTTCAAAAATTCGTAGTTCGGTTCCAAAAGAGTCCCGGAAGCGGAAAAACTGGGAAGCGGTGGGAAATCATTGACGGACAAAATGAGTAATACACACCCATTATAGGAGGGACGTTCTAATAGGCGGTGCCTGCCACGAAGCTGTCAAAAATTAGTAAATCGTTCCAAAAGAGCCCCGAGAGCGGAAAATGTGGGAACCGGTAGAGAATGAATAGGTGGACGGGTGGTGGAGGTACACCGGCTGTGAACGTGGCTTGAATCGGAATTTCGTATTAGCATTAGCATACGTAACTACATTGGAAGAAAAGCTTCAGTTAATACCGTCCTCTATCAAATTGGCGAACTATCACTTCTCCTAAATACACCGGCTATCGCTTCTATTCTATAAACCAAGTAACTTTGTGTGTCGGTTGTATGTTTGTATGTAGGTTTGTATGTATGTATGTTTGTCTGTCCGTCCGCACAATACTTCACGGGTTCAAGTTCGCTGGAGGCGAAAACGACCGCTAGGCAAACCGGTAACCGACTGGGAGGATGTAGCAATCCAATGTTTTGATCGTGATATCGGCCTCCGCTATATAAGACAACCATTCGGTACACTCCGAGCCATTGCACGAGCTGCTGGCGTGGCAGCTGGACGTGTGCTCGTGCGGGGGCAGGGTGGGGTGGGGCCGAGAGAGGGGGGGGGGCACTGGGCGCCCCCCCCCCTCTGCTTCCTTCCCTTGCGCGTACTCAGCCCGGCCTGAGCATGCGCAAGAGAAGGAAGCAGAGGGACGGTCCGACTGGAACACTGGGGCGTTTTTTCAAGGTATGATATAGGTTATGGCACAGGAATATGTGGGTGACAAGAACTGCTAGCCGCTGATAAAGGGAGTTAGAGTGGAAAGGACAACATACCCATAACGCGGTACACAGCATCAGTTAGGCGTTGGTTTCAGCAAATGATATCAAGGGGAAGGTGGAGAATGCGACGGCGGGTGACAAGAAATGATAACAGCTGATACTTGATAGAGAACGATGCAGTTGTTGTTCAATCAAACGCTGAAGCCTCTACACCACGAAATTATGGAGTTTTAGTGATAGCGACATTGATGACGAGTGACAAGCAATTTTATCAATTGATAAGTAAAGATAAGGGGACATTTTCACGACATCTCTGACCACTACACTGCCAAAAAAGCCTCTCAGTAAGCGAAATTTTCCCACAGCCATCACTCCTTTGATAGCACTAGAAAATGTACTCATCCCACTAGGGGGGGGGGGGGGGGGGGGGGGGGGGGGGGGGGGTGGGGGGGGGCGGGGGGGGGTATATACTTCGCCTGAAAACAGGAAGTTTGGAGAAATCAAAAACTCCAATAATGGAACACACTTTATGCGTTCAGTGAGTTTAAATATTTTTTTTGCTTTTCAACATTAAATCACTGATGAGAACGAATAACGAAGTAGTTTGTAAGATATTCAATGAACGCTGCCTAAATATTGTCATCTGCAGCCATTCATGCAACCTTAGCAGGTGGATTGCATGTGACAAGTTAATCGCCCATCGTTGGTGTTGTGATGCAGGTAATAAAAACGGAATGTGTTTATCTACTGTGCAACACATATTCTGTACTTCCTATCTACTTCCAAGATCTACGTATAGAATGGGCGTTATGGCCGAAACCCGCACGCCTTCCGCAACTCTGAGGGGGTGCAGTTTCGCTAAGTTACTCTGTCTATTTTGATTCGACCACTACCGCGCAATATGAGCAGCTCATACAATTAACTAATTCCATCCCGTTATGATGTGCGCCTGGCGAAGCCAGGCCAGCTCGGCGAAGCCGAGCTAAAAAGAAGGAGGAGAGCTCGGCGTCAGCCGTGCGATCCGACTGGTCTTTCTGATAATCTATTACGTTTGTGCTTAACCCACGCTGAATCAACTGAATAATCTGCACAATAGGTAGCATATGAAAAAGTTAGAGAGCTGCCTATTAGGGGGGGATGAAACGGTAAAATATGGAAATTTTCGGGCAAACAGTTTTCGGGCCATATGGCCGGCGAAGAACGCAGAAGCAGAAGGAGGATCGGCCGGCGAAGGCGACCGATGCGACTGGCCCTTTACTTTTTGGAAATGTGTGGGGGAAGAGTCATTTCACACGCAGGAGGAGGATCTCCGACTGGTGAACCAATAACTGCTAAGCCTGAACAAAAAGGAATATTTTTTATGCGCCTTCTAATGCCTCAAACAGGGCCTTCCCCACGGTGCAGATGATGTCGTCGTAACCAGTCGGGGCGGCGTCAAGAGGCTTGGAATGGCCCATCCTGGCTGTGTTTTTCTACCAACAGTGAGTGGTCCAGGAAGAAAAGAGCCGGTGGTTGGAAACCTTGCAGGAGAGCTCATTCCATGCCTCCTAACATCGCCCCCACTAGCAGCGAAGATATCAGCTGCGGATGATTTTGTGCCTTTATGACGGAACAAGCTGGGGCGAGTACGAGAGACCAAATAACGAATGACGAGGAGCTAGAGGACTAAAGAGACGAGATAATCCAGAGAGCACAGCAGTTACGAGTGTCGGAGACTAAGGACCAGTCGCTTTGCTTACGGGCGAAAATGTCCTAGATAGCTTATCGCAGAATGCACCTTCAATGCTCACTAAATATTTCTCAAAGGAGCTAGGAGCGTTGGCTAGGGGGCGGAGAGGTAGTTGAAGCGCCAACAAATGAAAGGCAGCTTTTCCTGTGCACTGAAAGGTGCAGCCTAGCGATTTTTCACCGAACTTGAACTGCCCCACGTACTAGACAATGCACGACTGCCGCAGAACATCATCCCATCAAGTGTTTCCTCTGCAACTAATATTTTCCTATTTCTTGCAGGGTACGGAAATGTCTGCCCAAGTTCTGAGCTAGGAAAACTTCTATTAATTGCTTATGGAATCGTTGGTATGCCTTTGGCACTGGTCACTATGGCCGATACAGGAAAATTTTTGAGTCGATTTGTTACGATATGTTTTAATGAGGTAAGCATCATTACCAGTAATGACAAACTCAGTTCATATACACTGTGATCTTCCTTTTTTATCCTATTGGGCTGTGATGGTGGACAGGCGCCAGGTTATGCCGCTGCCACAGGTGCAGTTCGTAATCCGCTCAAGCCAAAAAAGGGGCATTGCAGAAGTTCCACATGCCACGGCGCGAGCAAACCAGCAGAATGTTCGGCAGCAATTTTCTTCATGGCCTGAGGTACTGAGGCACCCTCACAACTAGGTCATTTGGATCCTGGAGCGATTGCCGCGCACACGCAACTTAGTGCTTCCTCACACAAAAAACGGCTAACCCCCGTATTGACACGCTCGCATCTTAATACGCCGAGCGCCAAAACACCGTCTACAGACCAATCCGCCTTCAAGCCAGCAACTACAAGGCTTTCGAGCAAATAGCTCCATTCGGGTTACCACGAGTTGTGCCTTTGACAAAGAATCACGGAATTTGCGGAGTCCTCAGTAGTGCAAAGAAAAAAAATTGGTCTGCTGTTTCATTATTTAAAAGTGTATTCGAAAAAACATTTTTTCAGTCTATGGCATGGCCCACAGGCATATTTCTTTCCATGCTCTGTTTTTATCCAGTAATTGGTGGTCTGCTGTTTCATTATTTCGCCGATCTACAATTTCGCGACGCTATCTACTTCAGTTTCACTTCTATCTTCACCATTGGTTTCGGTGATTTAATGGTGAGAATTTATGACAATAGATCGAATATTTTCAAGGCAAGTACTGCAGGATACGACCCCTGCCCCTCAAAATTTCCTCCTGCTACGACCTCCTTTCCTACCCCAAATCCTCCCAATCTTCTACCGCTTCCCCTTGTTTTTTGTCATTTCTTCCAAGCACTTTTCCAGAGCGCACGTGAAAGGGGAAAACTGTTACTTTACAGCCGGAAACATTTTTCTCGGAAGCATTTACGATTCTTCCTCCCTCTAGCAAGCCAAATACAACCCCCTTGCTAGAAACTTACGTACGACGTGCCCTGGTAAAGATTAATGCACAATCTTGCCTTCTATGGGCGGTGCCTTTCTACTGCATCTCTCAATGGGGACGCCTGCCGCCTACACTTTACC